TGAAGGAAAAACATGTAGACCCCCAGTGTAAGCCACCAATCCCAATAGCTTGTAAAACAAGTGCGGGCAAACGTTTACAATAGCCCTGGCAAAAGAGCTGGAACATGTGACTTGTGGTGAAGATGTCTAAAACACCTTTTTGTGTGTGAGATTACAATTTTCAATGTCAGAATCACCAATAACCATGTTGTTATCAGTTATTTCCACTTATAGTAGCTTTTCTGATAATTTTCCACCCTTATTATTCTGCATAGTGTATTATTCTAACATCCCTATGCTGTCTGTTTTGTTTAGGATGATGATTTTGAGGAGATGGAAGCCCTCAGTCTTCACTCTGCTAAGGTAATAAATCTCTTTATCAACTAAATAACATTCAGTGTTTTCACTGACAGGCTACATAATCAGACTGTTAATGTGCCAATCAGGCTGTTATCATGGATGACGAACAGCAGAAGTCTCATCGTTACTCACCAAGTCTGCAGGGGGATGACGATGTCGAATTGAGCAAAGAACGCAAACATGTAACTTTCTGCCTTTTTTTTCATGAAACTACAAACTGCATAAAATTGATCACAATAAGCTTATATTAGCAACTGTTCTTTTTTTTTAAGTCTTTGGGAAATACAACTTAATGCACACTGATTATTATTATTATTGTTTTAACTGAAGTGCTTATCTCCTTAGTAGCTATTAGTATTTTTTCACTATAAAGTACAAAAACAAAAACATCTTCTTGTTTCTGGCAGAAAAAGTCCAAATATAAGATTCATCTGCCCCACAAATCGAAGGCATCACACGGACTGAAAGAGGTAGGCGGAGTCTAAGTGTTTAATGGTTAACACACAAACATACAAATAAAAATTATTAATGTAAATGTATTACTGGTGTTTATTGTCAGAAGGGCTCCACTGACGACGAAATGACAGAAAAAGATATGAAGTCTCATGAAGAGGAGTATGATGAAGATCCAGATGAGATTGAAATGCTCAAACTGGTATTCTTTGTTCTTTTAGACTCCAGTGTGGTTTTTTTATTATTATTTGTATGTGAAAATGCCTTTGACACACTTATTTTCTTTCCAATAGAAAAAGCCATTTAAGTTTAAAGTTTCCAAAAAACACAAGCACCAGGTAAGTGTGTTTGGTCCGCTCTTACCACACCAGAGGAATCTTTACTCGTTGATCGATGACATGTGCAACATTCTCAGACTGAACCTTCTCTCATCAGAGCAAAAAGAACCAATCAGAAGCCCCACCTGTTGAGCACCTCTCTGAGGCTGCTAAGGTAAGTTTGCAACTTTTCAACCTGGAAACTGTTAAAGTGCTGATGGAAAACTTCTGATAGCGATTCCTCAATGACCGATTCAAACCGTCTCATCAGAGCTAGAATGGAGTTTGAAATGGCTTAGAGAGCCAAGTTATTAGTAAGGCATGTCTGAGTTTCTCAGTCGGATGTAGATCCCAACTTTTCTCATACCAAGTTAGATACGGCCATGTCTCTGTGTCTGAAATTGTTCCGTACTCCCTCTATTTTCTACTTATTGGTTGGTTTTTAAAAGCCAGTTGGTTGTGTACAGTTGCAAGCAAATACTATGCTTTCCAGATTTAATTTTATTTGAAATAAAATGTAATAAAGCATATACCATTTCCCCACCACATCACAATTGTGCTTTGCTGTGGGTTGGTCTGCAGAAGGGGGTCTGCAACCACTTTGCAACTTTTTTGACATCACAAAGTCAAAATTTGTCAAAATTTTTAATATATAGTATAGGAATTTTGTGGTCTATTTATTTATTTTAAACACATTTTTTTATTTTTTAGGTTTTAAATCAAAGAAAAATATAAAAGAGGATCAGGACATTTTCTTCTATATGGGATGTTGATGTTTGTAAACAATTATGTAAACAGAAAACAAAATGAACTTAGCTTCCAATGAAATAATGATTCTGTTTTTTAAAGTCTGAAGTTTAATGCGGGATTTATTCCATGCCAAAAAATTGCTAAAATCTCTATTTTTAATATCTGCATTTAAAAAAAGTAAATAAAAATGCCTAAAATCTCTATTTGTAATGTCTGCATTTAAATAAATATAATTTTTTAAAAATGGCTAAAAACTCTATTTTGATATCTACATTTAAGAACAAGAAATTAAAATGTCTAAAATCTCTATTTTTGATATCTACATTAAAAAAAAATTACAAAAATCTACATTTTAAAAAAGTTGTTGCTTCTCCACCATTTCCAGCCAAACCAAGAGGGGAAGCTCCAGTTCAGACTCCTGTTATACAGCATTAAATACATTGAAATGTATTGTGGAAAATCCCAGTGCTTTTGCAACACTGTACTTTTATCTTTACTTTATCTTTCCTTCCTTAGCATTCACTATCATGTGATGGCTGTGCAATTCAGATAATCTTCACCTGCTAATTATCAGATTTTAAACGTTCTACCAACTCTGAACGGTTTGCTTTGATTGGGAATCTTGATTTTTGTCAGTCAGGCAGAAGGACGCCATGAAGACTTCCTGTGTATTTCATTTGAAATGCATTTAAATTGAAAGTTACCAGAAATTGGGGGAAAAAATGAATACAGTACCGTGGTTACATAATCAAGCTTTAGCCACAATGCAGGTTTGATTGATTAAGCCCTCATGTTAGCAAACTATACTCTGAAATCATCTCATGCTGTTGTTTCAGTCTGTTAGCTTTCTTTCCTCAATTGGACCTTGACATATCCTTGTAGCATGTTACCGGACCGGTTCAGCTGCATACTGCCTTCTCTGACACTCCTACTGCTGTGTATGAAGGCCTACTGTGCTGCCTTGAATGACTTAAAATGGTAACGCATGCTGCAAACACTTGCTGATTAACTCCTCTTCTTCCCTCATTCAGGCAGCATGGGAGGCTGCTCAGATGGACGAACAAGCTGCAGCCGGTGAAGAGGAGGATGAGGAGGAAGACGGGGTCAGTTTCTTTGGTTCTGCAAAAATTCTGGATCCTTTTTATTTACGGACTCTCTGTTTTTATAGGGACAGCATTATTTAATGTAAAGTTATATGTAGGCTTGATGACAAACATTTCCGGATGATAAATTGCCCCAGAGGTTGTTACGATAAACAATGATATTGTTGTTTTGAGGCAATTTTCAAGATGTCAGTAATGGTACAATAAGGCAAGAAAACATTCTCATAGATCAATAAACTTAAAATTCTAATGGATATTTAACACTGAATCCCGAACACATTTTAAATGTTCAAAATGTATAAACAAAACTACAGAAACAACAATTAAGATGAAGTATGAAGTCTTTGTAAACAAAATTGTGCTTCCAAAAAAGAGCCAGTTGAGACAAAAGCGTCAGACAGAAAACTTTCATCATCCAGTTTTAGTAGAAACAGAGAGAAAAGAGAAAAATGATAAATCATTGAAAATGAGTTCATTTTAACTTATTTGTGATAAATTAATTTTTTATCACAAAGTTATTACCACAGGCCTAGTTGTCTGACAAACTATTTTCCCATTATAGATGTTTCCTGTTTTTAGGAGATGAAGATAACCTGTGTAAATATAATAAGCATTTGATTTAATTTAGTTAAAAAAAATTTATCCAAGCTGACCTGTGTCTGTGTAATAAACCAGTCACCCAATTGGGTAAATTCTAAATTGGCTGTGACTAGTCTTATTTTTGGTGAAATGTTCCTACATTTCAAAAGCAACATGCTAGGTTCTTTGTAAAGGAATTCAAAAATAGATCATACCTGTCAAGTCTCCCGCTTTGGCCAGGAAATGACCATATTTTACCCCTTTCTCCCCCGGCGTACTCCCGTCTAAGTATTTTCCTGTAAATTTCCCATGTTAGATTAATGATGTCGGGAGGGCAAGATAGAAGAAATGTATATGCTCCTCTGAAGAAAGGTCAGATATATGTTTGACTACTTTTTGTATCTTTGTCTTTAGGACACGGACAGTTTATTGGAGTGGTGGTACACAGTAGAAAGTAAGTCAACATCCAAACCAATTTAAAATCAAGTGAACTGATGAGTGGTACTGGATTTGTATTCACCCGTTTGTGCGTTTCAGAATGGGACGAACTGCCATCGGATGAAGAGGATGCAGCCGTCAAAGAGGATGAGTCAAAGTGCGACCATTTGTTTTTACCAGTAGTAATTCTTGGTCAACTCACTGTTTTGCAATACGTTTTGACTTTATTACTTGTATAGCACCAGTTCACAACAGCCGCAGGTTATCAAAAGTCACATACACTCCAAACAATTCTGGATATCAATGCAGTCAAGTTCAGTTTATTATTCAAATTATATAATGAGTAATTGGGTAAAAGGATCAATTTATAAGTTTGAGTACCACAGAAGCTAGTGGAGAACTTAATTATGCTGTTCGCAAAGTACCCAATGCTCAGCACTCTACGCAGCCATGCATTTCACTGTTTGAGTTGACCAACCAGTGAGTTGGTCTTTCTGCAGCAGCACAGGTCACTGTAGATGCAGACAGTAGAACAAGCATCATCTTTACCAAAATAGTTTTGTTTTATTGAGCAAATTACTAAGAACTAGCTCTTCTAAAATCTTGCTATGATTGCAGGTCATTCACCGTCTTGGCAGACAAGGTCGAACGCGGCCTGCGTCTCTTCAACAAGGTGTTTACCGAGCAGGCCGAGGCCCTGTGGGAGTCCATCATCTCGCTCCACGCCCTCGCCGACGACATCAACGAGTTCCATCACAAAGCCAAGATCGCTGGGATCAGCGGGGGCACCACCACCGCAGTGGGCACTGTGGCGGCCATCACTGGTCTGGCTCTGGCTCCCGTGACCTTCGGAGCGTCCCTGTTAGTCGCTGCCGTGGGCGTGGGGGTGGCAACGGCCGGTGGGATCACCTCTGCCTCTGCAGCCATCTCTGATAACGTCAACAACAAGAACGAACGCAAAAAGGTAATGCAGATTTTTGATGCAGTGAGATGTGATGGCAGCCGCAGAGGCTGCACGTCTTGATCACTCTGTTACTTTTTCTTCTGTGTGAAATCACTAATTTAACGTTCTCTGTCCTTAATCAGATCGAGGGTCTGCTGCAGGAGTACGAAGAGCGAATGCTGGAGATCTCGAACATCCTCCACTTTGTCAATAAGGGCTTGTCCAAGCTGCGCGGCCACCCTTTCCTCAGGTCTGGCACACAGCACTATTCCCAAGACTGGGAAATCCGCAAAGCGGTCCAGATGATCAGCATTGTGGATTCGCCTGTTATGCGAGCAACAGAGATGACTGATGACGCCGTGGGCTCCCTGCAAGGACTCTTCAAAGGTATGGACACGTACTTCGTGAACGAAACCAGAGAGCTGAAGAAAGGCTACAGGAAGGAGATTGTGTCCGTTATAAGACAAGTGGCAAACGTGCTGAATGACTGCATCGTGGGGCTGAACGCCATCAGAGAGGATCTGCAGGATGCTACTGGAAATATGTGAACAACCTTCATGATCACACTGATCATGGCTCTCCACTGACATCTCCTGGCTGAAAATAAGAACTGCTCTTCCATGTTGCATCAGTCTTGGAAAATATTCCACCTCTGTTAAACTCATGAAGATATTTTTGGCATTGTGGCTGAGAAATGAGTTTTTTCCAGGTTTTTAGACGGCATATTAATTTTGTACTTGTACAGTAAAACACAGATAAGTTCCTTTATTAATTAACCCTTTTGCATCAAAGTTTTTTCCTATTTAAAATTCACAGTTAGAATTGTTAGAATTGAGTCAGTTTGGAAATAATTTATTCACTTTACTTTGAAATAGTTTATCAAAGACTTTGACAAAAGTCTTTGAAGAGATGAGGTTTAAAAATGTTTAACAGTTGATGAATTTAGTGAACCAAAGTGATAAATGTCAGATTTTGGCAGAATGTTTTGCAGGTCATAGACCCTTGTACTGTAAGTGAGACTTTTAATCTTAAGTTGTAAAAAAGAATCTTGTTTTCATAATCAGGTGTCAATAGATAGATTTATTGTTATAACTTGAATCGGTTTGTTCAAAATATAGCTCATGTTTTGCAACGAGGGAGTTAGTTTGGTTTATTCAGAAGCTTGAACACATTTTAATACTTTTCATTTTTCCTGAAAGAGCTGTCTGGAATGAATGCAAAGCATGTTGCATGACAAAATGAAGTTTTTTCTGCTTGATTGTAGGCACATTGTCATTTTATTATCCATATTGAATCATCCAGCTGCTATTTTACCCCTAACCACCCTTAACCATAGGCATTCTTAACATTTGACTTATCCAGCTTTGATAGGCCACTGTCATTGCATTGCTGAGGCATTTGTTCATATATTTGCATTTTAACATGAAATGAATGTAACTTTTTTAATTGTTCTATTTTACTATATTCAATATGTCCTGGTTAACCCAAGAATAAAATGTAAAAATGACCTATTGACACATTTTCCCCTGGGGGCAAAGTTTGTTTTTTTTTTTTTTTTTTGTCAGTTGAGAAATATTAAACTATAAGATGTAACCTATAGATTGTCCAAAGTGCCAGTATAACATTATGTACAAAAGTGTAAACTTGATATAATTTCCAAAAACACACACTAACATCGTGCTTGTATGGTTTCATTCATTACTACCAGCA